TCTCATTGGGGATGGTTTTTATTTTTCGAACTATTCATATTTTTTAATATGATTCTGACTTCTTTTTATTAATATGCTTCTTAATTATATTATTTTTCTAAGTATTATATTCTTATCCTTCTTACTTACATTCATGCTTTACTACTATATTACCATGTTATTATTATATATTGAGACTTAGCAGCGCCAAGTGTTTTTACATGAAAAATTTGTCTATTTAAATTAAATTTTTTCATTTTATACGGTTAATTCTTTAATTTTTTGTGGTAACACTTAAATTGAGCAAGGTAACGCAATTTTGTGATAATGTTTTGTATAATGTTTTGAAGGAGAATTAAATAATCACTACTTTAGTTGGAAGAGGAAATATCTTTGAATGAATTGCGATATAATAATATCATTTAAGATAAATTTAAACCATTTGGATTGGAATAGGAAGATTCTTCAATAAGTATATATGTATACTTAGGTTTCATTGCATAAAAATTAAAGATGGTACCATTTGGATTAAATAAATAATAAAGATAGTATCACTTGAGTTTTACTTTTCATTTTGTAAAATTTAACTTGGCGCCACAGTTGTTGATATCAAATCGTTCGTACAAATAATACATATCATTAGATTAATATTTATTATTTATTTAATTTGGCATGGAATAGAGAAATGGGATTTAACTTGGCGCCAGTTCTTGATATCAAATCTTTTATAGGAATGATACATATCATTAAAGTTAATATTACTTATTTAATTTGGTATTCGAATTACATGGAATTTAACTTGGCGCCAATTGTTGATATCAAATCTTTTTTACGAATAATACTTAAAACTTTGATAAAATTTTGATGAATTTAGCTTGGCGCAAATTTTGTTGATATCAAATCCTTCATACGAATAATATATATCATTAGAGTTTAATAAATTAAGAAAGAAATTAAAGTTACTATTATATTTTTTCTTTGGGAGGATTAAAATGGTAAAATTTAACTTGGTGCCAGTTGTTGATATCAAAACTTTTGTACAAATGATACATATCATTAGTTCTACTAAACAGCAAACGTGATTAGTTATCAGTTTCTCGGCCGATTAAGTAATTGGTGTTGGTGAAATTGGCCCAAATGGTGATTCTTTACGAGAAGCATCATTTGGGCCAGTTTCACCAACGCTTAGCGCTTTTTTTACCTTTTTTTTAAAAAGGTAAGTTTGTATATAGATTAAACGCGAAAAAGATATAAGATAATTTTCGCTTTTATAATTATTTTTCTAATATTTAGATGTTTTACGCTCTTATGTCCATTTCCACCAACATAGATTAACTTTAATGTCGGTTCAACTTACTCTTCGTCTTTTTCTAATTCTAAAGATAAATTGAACCGAGATTAAAGTTAATTCACGTTGGTGGAAATGGGCATTAATTGTTCTTTACTTATTGTTTTATGTTTGAATTATAAGTCTTTTACTCATTTTTATATTGTATATTTCTAATTAATTGTTTTTTACATATTGTTTTATGTTTGAGTTATAAGAGTCCTTTACTCATTTTTATATTGTATGTTTTTAATAATGAAAAAACTACCATAAAAATAAATCATTATCTTTTAAATTCAAGTATACTGTGACGTGACATTTTGTCCGTCACTGTGCGGACTTGTCGACGGCAGACTCGTGCTTCCTAC